CTGTCTTCTCCCTCTCCTTTCCACCCCCAACTTACCATCACACCCTGCGTGAGGATGTGGCCAGAAACCCCACAGTTCCGTTCCTACTATGTGGTAGACCAACCCCACACTATTATTTGTGATATTTGGCAAAACTATACAGAAGGAAGACCGAATGAAAATAACTCCAAAGGGAGTAAGATGATTTGGGTTCCGATGTCCTGGCTGACGGCTCATTAGCTGTGTGATCTTGGGCAAGTCACTTACCCTCTCTCACTTCATTTTCCTCCTTGTACAATGGAGATGGTATTGGGAGAGACCTTTCAAATGCGCCTGCCCTGCCCCCTCGCTGTATACCTCCCACGTTGCCCTTAGGATCAACTCCGAAGTCTCATGAGGCAGGTAGGGCAGGCAGTAAGGATGACATACGGTATTCCTGGCACCATTGGTGAAAGCGCTGTTTCTCTGTCCCCGAGCACAGGGCCCCATCTTCCTCAGATCATCTGAGACGACCTTCCCATTCCTCAGACACACGGGGTCCCCAATCGCATATTCTTTTAAACTCATCATAATCAAGGAGGGGACCGACGGTGTTTCCCAAGTGGGTTTCTTGGGAGCTCTGTCCAAGGCCATTGGGTTAGTTGCCATGAAAACTTGAAAAAGCTCCTATTTTTAAAAGAACCAGCTTATTCTCTCATCTCCTTGCTGCTTGGTCTCTCTCCCAGCCAGCAGGTTAGGAACCGGGACACCCTTGCTGTGATGCGCAATTCAAAGCCACCCTGCAGGCTTGAAATTGCAGTTTGGAAATGCCCTGAGGATGGCAGCCGCTTGAGTGCCAAGGGAGGGTCACTGCGGGTCGCTGCGTCCAGGGCTTTACGCGCAAGGCTCGATGGCGTCCATCTGGAGCGCCCAGGCCCTATTCCTCCACCTTGGCTCTCAGCTGTGCCTTTGAGAGTGGAGATTGCTCAATAGGCATGTGTGGGTGACACCTGGTTACTTAATGGCTGGCTGCTGTCCCTACAGGCCAGAGATTAATGGGTGATGAGGCGGATGTCAGAGCGCCATTCACAGGTCACAGGACTGTGAGTCTAGGATTCCAGGCCCTACTTCCTCAGTCTCAGAGGACTAAATAACCCCATTGGCATCAGCTGATTCCTTTCAAAATCCTTCGTCATCAGCGGGGTTAGGGAGGAAACGTAGCAGGAGCGCCACCTTTTAGGGATTTTATGGGTTCGTTGTAGGGACTCGTGAATAGTTTCCATCAGCAATGCACAAATTTAAAAGCATGCCTCCCTCAAGATTTTTGCTGATTTCCAGACTAATAAAAGGTCACTAATCATACCTTATAGTTGGTGCTGTGGGGTTCTGAGTAATGCAGGATATTGGGGAGCTTTACTATCTGAAGTTGTCAGAACCCTCCTGATGTATGAAAATTAGGCATTTCTCAAGAATTCAACCATTTTTTGCTTTTGTTGACTTAGTAAAAATCGACAGCAGTAGGGCTATTTGATTACAATGAACCACCATGGCTCCAACTGTATGAGAAACACAATTCCAGGGAGGGTAGAGGCCTCGGAAACCATGGACCAACAACATGTCGCAAGCTTCTGGAGCCACCGGTGGGCAGGGCCAGCGAGGCCAGCAAAAGCTAAAGACAGAAGAGCTTAGAAGAAAGCAGCTTTTACAGAGATGGAACAGAAAGGGTTTCCAGACGGGGTATCGAATGCAAACTGTATTTGGTTTTCATCTCAGCTAAGTTGGGGGCCTTCTCTAAAAGCAATGCAAACGCCGCACCGCTTGTCCTGTGTTGGCTCGTTCCTGTTGACTTTTCTGCAGTGAAGTGAAATATCCAGAGATTGCTCCACGTGGCCAGAGCTGGCTGGCAGAAATAAGACGCAAGAGTGTCTCTGAGCAGGACAAGCCTCTACCTAGCCAAGCCTCAAGCTTGTACACAAAGACCTTGAAGTCTGGCCCAGGGGTTCCGTGTCCAGGAAAGCTGGGGACCAACCCATCCACTGAGAACAATGATAAACCCAACACTGACAAGAAACAACCACCCAAAGGTGCTAGAAAATGAACAAAGGCAGCAGACTCAGGAAGGCACTTGGCACTTGGATCAGAAGAACAGCATTTTCCCAGCTCTCAGCCTGCGAGGCGGCCACAACTCAAGGCCACAAGGCAGGAAGGGGACCAGACCTCTGAGAGGAGACCAGCAGTCTCTCTGGGCAGCCACAGCCACTGCAGAATGAGGGTGAGTCCTGGAAAGGAGCGCGCCGGGGAGGGGACCCTCCACATCTGGGCGTAATGTCTGCCCGCATTCTGACCATGTGCACGGGGCAGACTCTAGCTAAGGATAATCGAACCGAGATTCCAGCTGCCAGGGAGACACAGCTTTTGGAGCTTGAGTCCAACAAAATTAACTGCCTGATCAAGCAAACAAGTCGTTGACGCTGCTACATCAGACGTGTTAGGCGGGGTGGTTGTGAGGGCGGTGGTTGGGATGCCTGTTGAAAATGTCGATTCCCAGGCCCTCCCTGCCCACAAATCTGCAGAATCAGACCTCTTGGGGCAGGGCCTCAACTCTGCATTTGTGACAGGCGGCCTGGATGACCCGGCACACCGAGTGCGAGGCCCACTGCTCCGAGAGTTGGCGTGGTCCCCTACTGAAACAGGCTGCGCCCAAGTGCGTGTCTGTCTCTGGCTGCCTGCGTCTGCAGTTCTGGCCACGCAAGACTGCAAGGTCATCTGGAGGCCCAGAGATGCTTCACTCCTTACACTCAGCTGTTGGAGGAGGCTGCATGGGGACCACACAGCCCCCGTCAGCCGTGTCCTGCAGGTCAGCACAGGCCTTCCTCTGCCACCTTCCTTTCCATATCCCCTGGCCACGGGGCCCTGCCCACCCCATGGGAAGCAGCTTTTCAAGTCTCAAATAGATTTATGTGAAAGATCTGCTGGGGTTTTCACAAGTCTGCAGAAACACAGCAAGCTGGTTGGCACAGGAGGGTGAAACACCAATCATTTGTCTGGCATCTTGGTCTCAACGGTTGAATTCTGTTGCTGTAACATCCAATTATAAAAACACTCACAGCTAAGAACTGGGAAACAGCTCTTAATGAGCAGGGCAAACATGGCAGTGATGTTTGTGACTCGAATCTGCCCCACCCTGGTCACTGTGACTAAGCCTCCTCCCAAGACCAAGCAGGAAATGGGGCCAGTCATTCAGCTTTTCATCTCCTGGATCATCGGTCGATGCTCAACGGCTGAGCCACGCCGGCCAGGCTGGAATGTAATCATTTTGGTTCCGAACTTTTAATGTTAGTGTTGCAGGGAACCTCTTGTAGATGCCTCACTACACTCACACATGTATCTGTAGGGCTGAAAACTGGAAACGGAACTGCCGTGTCAAGCGGTATGGAGCACTTACCATCTTACTGAATATTGTAAATTGTGAAAGGGGTGATGCCTGTTCACAGTCCCACCAGCAGCACAGGAGTCCTATCTGCCCGCAGTCTTGTCAGCACATCACCCCAACCATTCCCTCCAGCCTCATGACCATTCGCCACCCCCCACCCGCTGGGTTATTCATGAGGCTCCCCCTCCAGCTATTACCCACTTGTCTGTTCCTTCTTTACCAACCCCCCCCAAAGTTGTCCATACTGGCAGTCTCCAATCTCTCCCTTTTCTTTCATCTTTACATTCCTATTACGGACATTCCTAAGCATGCATAAGAGTAGAGGAAATAGAATAAGCAGCCCCTATGTGCCTGTCACTCAACTTCTCCTGCTCACTTGACCTATTTCCTGCCCCCTGCCTTTTTTCCCCTGGAATATTTTCAGGTACATACCAGTCATAATTTCACGAGTACTTCAGAATGTATCTCTAATAGATAAGGGCTTTAAAAAACAAATTAGTCCCTATACCATTACTTCGCCCAATAGTTATTAATTCCTTAATATCATCTGATATCCAATCCATCTTAAATTTTTCTCTAATTGCCTCAAAAAATGCCTAAGTTGGTTTCCAATCAGGATCCAAACAAGTCCTTTGAATTTGTTCAGTCTTTAAGTCCCACCATCACCATCTTCATCGTCCACCTTCAATTTGAAGAGACTGAATTATTTGTCCTATGGAATTTCCCACATTCTGGATTTAGCATATTAACATGTTTCTCAATAGAGGAACATGTTTTTACAAACTGGTAGATATAGAGGCTTGATCAGACTAGGGTTCCATTTTTGTTTGTTTGGGGCACTGATTTATCGTGGCTGTTGCTGGGGTCTTGCTACTGTAACATCTGAGGCAGGAGACTGCCTTTTTCAGTAACACTGACCCTGATCACTGGGTTCAGAGGTTACCAACTTGAGCCATCCAATAAAGCATTTCCCATCAACTTTTCACCTAACACTTTTAGCAGCCTAGACCCATTATTTCACTAGAAGAACAAAACAGTGATTTTTTAACTGTCATTTCTCTGGCATTTAGCTGACTCCTGAGTGAAGAATTTTCCCTTATCAGGTTAACCTGACACACAAAGAAGTCAGCATAAATGTTTCAATTTTCCAGTTAGAAAATTTTAAAATAATGGATTGGTGACCTAGTAGCCTCCAAAGGTGACCAATATTTTTTGTTTTTTTTAACTATCATTATGACCTCATGAATTTTTACAGATTTCATGTTTCAGTCCACTGTTCTTTTTTGGTGCTCAAACTGTTCCATCTTTGGTATATGGGAGTCTCTTCAAGTTGGCTCCCGGATCCTTTGACATGACCTCACTCTGACTGCTTCCTTGCTTTCAGCAGAAACATGGTCCAGCCTCCTGTTGTCCTTTCCTTGCCCCTTCTAGTGGGACAGCCTGGGTGCTAGGGATGTGTGGACAGAGGAGGCCACATGTGGAGGTCACACCACGCAGGGCAGCCTTCCCTCAGTGCCAAGCGTTCTGAACACTCACTGGATCCATGGTCCTATAATAACTGGTGTAAACAGACTGGGCCATACTGACAACTCAAGAACATATACAGCAGTTTCCTGTTGTGACTACCACAGTAAAATTTATTCTGTAAAATAATGATGTACATTGTGCATAATTTAGCAAAGATTAAATACTGTAATCGATTTAAAAAAACACTGAGCACCTACTGTATTTTCAGGAGTTTGAGGACTGGTTTTCCCCACTAGCTCCATCTTCACAAAGTAGATATGCTACAGCCCGAGGTAAAATTCAATTTTTAAAAAGAATTATGACAGTATTTTTCAAATAAATCAATCAGTAGGAACACAAGTTCCACTTGACATCTGGGCACATCTTTTTCCTGAATCACTTGGCACATTCATAGCCAGAAACCCCACTAAGTGAACCTAGAAACTTCCCTCCAAGGGCTGGGACCAGGCTTCCCACACAGGAGCCTCCTGTGCAAGTGAAAGCTGTCATTTGTCCAGCAAAGAAGATCTAAGGGACACGGGAGAGTCTGTCAAACAAAGATACGAACTATTACCCAAGTCATCTGTACCACGTGTTTGAACCTGGCCAAACTAAAATACTAACTAAAACGTAAAGGCTATTTTTGTTCTAACAGTAGAGAAATCTGACATGCCTTGGTGCTCATGTTACTTTCTCACTAACCTACTTAATCTGACAAGTGAGACAAACTCACTGGGAACCTATCTGTTGTGCTTCAGTGTAATCTGCATACTCTGACTATTCTTTTGTAGGGAGATCACGCTGAAAACAACATTCGGTTTTTTTGGCAGTTAATCAAGAGTGATACAACCTTACTTCTACCAACTAGAAATTTCCTAATTAACCATTTTAAAAATGCAACAGTCGAAAGCATTACATCATTATTTGCTCTCGGTTACTGTTTTTATTTACATAACCACCTTCCTCCTAGACAAGAACATCAGCAAACCTAACCCAAACATGCCTCGGTGGTGACAGTCCTATTCCGTTTTCTCCTTCGAAGGGTCTTCTCAGCAGCCAGTTACCACGTGGAGCTTTTTCACAGTTTCCAAAGAGGTTTTCCTCATTTTAAAACAGCAAAAAAGTACTAAATCCAATGGCAGTTATTGTTAAATAGTTTAACCAACCTTATAGAATTTTAGTACAACTTAAAGCATGTAAATTATTTAATCAACACAAAACTCTTAAAAAACACCAAACAAACCCAAGTGCTAGCTCATCTCTGGTGCCATGAGACGTAACAGCACTACCTGTTTTTATATTTAGTGGTAAAAACTAATCTAGTTTTAGCACCGATCTACAAGATTAGATATGAGAGTGTATGATTTGGCTTATTGGAAGGTAACAGTCTTACTATCCCCTCGGAGAGGAAATCAGCTCCTTTTGCTGCATCCTAGCTCATGGAGCAGACTAGGATTAAGGTGAGGAAGGACAGCTGTTAGGGCTTTCTAGTACTGGATCACTTAAGTGTTAATGCTGTGCCCTGCTGACGTAAAATTGCATCACACGTACAGATCCCAGGAGTTATACTGTTGCAGATATATCAGGATGGATCACATTTAAAATGCTAACCATGGCTTTGCAGCCTTAAATAGACAACAGGAAAATTAATGCTAGTGATCAATTCCTATTCTTTTTAACCAAAATGCTGTCTCATCACTCCATTTCAAAAGTGAAGCATTCTAAAAAGGTGACACATTTTTACAGAAACACACTGAATTTTGATGCATTATATATCAGTTATTAGACATGGTAAATACAAGCAGACAAAAAAAAAACAAAGTGCACTTTTACAGTATATAAAATATATGTTCAGAAATCACTTTTTTAAATAGGCAATACAGACTGAAATATAAAAAGTACCTGACATAGCAAAGTTAGATAGAAATGAAAACAATTTCAGTTGAAAAATTACCATTTTTCAGTACAGCAGAGGGACAAACCACCTTTTATTAAAGCTATTAGATTCGGAGGCTCTTGCATATTGACTTTGGTAGGAGAAAGGACAGGCATTCTTCTAGAAGGCACTAACTGGTTTAAGTGTGCAAGCAGCTTCCTAGAGAAAACATGTGCAAAGTACAGTCAAGAAGCCCGCCTGGCTCTTCAGCTGAACCCCTTACTCTTCTGTGGACAGATTACTGCTGAGGAACTGCACCAGTCAGCACGCTCTCCCTGTCCCCGCCATGGTGCTCAGTCCACAGTGTCACAGATCTCTTTCACTTTGTGGTTGAAGTCTTCGGGCTGATCTGCATACACATAATGCCCTGCCCCAAGGATGGCCTGGGAAAGGACAAGCAGTCAGGTGGTCAGCAAGTAAAAGCATTTACGAAAATGATGACATAAGCAGACACTTTGCGATGAAAGTGAGACAGCTGTATGTAAATGAAACATAGAAGGCTAAGCACCATTCTCCTATGGCTGTTAGCTATGATACAGGGTGGGGAGAAGTAGGGTTAGTCAGCAATGCGCATGGAAAACAACAATCAATAATAATACAAGGATCAACTGTGTTTCGTGTACTCACTACCGTAAACCTACTTTGCCCTACCCTGTATATTTCTATCAATAAAGACTGAGAGAATAAAGAGAAAAATCGATTGAAATTTGTTAAAATTTTAACATGCAAAAAAATAAACTATTCCAAATCGGCCACTAATGAAGGGCCAGCAGATAAACTGAACCAAGTGAGAATGTGCTGCCTTGTGAGGTAGGAGCTGGTCAAGGTGCTACTGGACCTGTCCCTCTTTCGGTCTCTCCCACCTCAAAAACACTATGGCTTCAGGAACAGGCAAGGCCCTTATGAAAGACAATCCACCATCTGGACATGAATACTTGTGTGGGTCCAACCCAACCAGCATCACAGTGATCTCAGGTCTTGGACAGAGACTATAGCGTTGAGCTCAGGTGTGAAAGCACGGGGTAGCCTGGAATCTCACTGAAGGCAAAGATGATAGAACAGATTCACCTACAGCTGAAAACACAAATAAGCCACCCACTTACTATCGTCTTCACGTATGAATGTGGTCGTAACGACTGGATGCTGGTGCCGGAATTGCCGTCTATGCAGGACCGGGCACCATAGATCACCGAGACTGGAATGTGAGGGTCCATCTTGCCGATTCGCTGGAGCATTGGCCTTTTTGCCCATCCATAAGGGATAGTCATATTTTTGAACGCTGTCTCACCACTTGAAGGGAAAGAAGAAAATCACACGGGTGACTTCTGGAGAGGAGCATGCATCACACTTCCACCTCTATCAAAACAGACTCACAGTAAGCTTCTGCCCCACTTAAGAAAAAAACCTCAATTAAATAGAAGTCAATTTACTAGAATGTGTATGAAACAACCCACAGAGGATACATACTTCTGTATACGTCCCACAGAAGATATGTGCTTTGTCAAATAAATAAGAATGTTCAAACTCTAGTTATTAAAAAAAGTCATCACCTTCTAAAGCAAAACATGCAGCCCTAACTCCGTCACCAAACGATTATATTTCCTATGGGGATAGTTAAAATACACTTTTCACTCTAACTTATTTCAAATGTAGAAGCTTTTCCACAGGTTCATGGCACCAGCTTTTTACAGGCAATGGCAAAGCCTATACACCAAGATAAGAAGAAATTCACATTAAGCAATTTTTGTGTATTGTTTATATTTTTAATTTTCTGCATATTACGACATTTGACCTCTTAAAACCTTTCTGGCTGACAGAGGCTGTGCCTCCCGGAGGGAGCTATTTCTTAGAGATGGCCAGGGACTCAAGGGGAACATGCCTTTGATATGCAAACGAAGCGATCAGAGCCCTGCCTCTGCCTCCCGGAACAGAACCTGTGGGCCAACAGAAATGTTCCTCTGCCTTACTTATCCCAGGACCAGCTACCAGGCATCTACAGACTACCCCTGTATCTTCAAGCACACCAAAATTATTCAATCAGCCCGTCCCAAACTGCTCACTCTGCCCTGCCCTGCCTTTCCTGAAGAGCCCCATACAGGCTCTGACCTAGACTTCCCTCCTTTGCTTCTGTTTTCTGCCACCTGACCAAACCCCGGCACTGCTTCATGACCCCTTGGAAGTGAGTATAAAGAGCTGGTTTCCTTGAGCCTCTCCTGTGTCTTCTCTTGCAGCCACGCCTGGCTGAGTGACCATCACACCATTTTGCAAACTCCCAGGTCAGGTCAGTGTTGCTGTTATTTCTGCTATCACAGTACCAGGCATTCTTTTGAATTGCCTTTTATGAAGACTTTAAGTTCCACCATAAGCAAGGCTACCCAGGCACAAGTAACCACAAAAAGGGAGTAAATGAGGAATAAAACACTAAGACCGTGTAGGAAAACACCTGAGGCACCTGGGCAGATGGCTAAAAACTAGGAACGCATCAATCCTTCCACCAGACCTGACTGCCCAGTCACTAAACAGTCTCCTGAGGACCCCAAACCTCTCCAGCCTCCCTCTAACGTAGTGATTAAAGACGGAGGCCACGGCTACGCTTCAACAGCCTCCATAACCTCAATCAACCTTTAGTGAAGCAGCTGTACATATTTGCTGCCAAGAGGGAGGGAGGGAAAAAAGTGAGGGAGACTGTCCCTGCTTCCAGCCTTTCACCCAAGTTTCAGTCTTAGAAGGACGAGGCACCACCACTTCTGTTTTAAAGTGAGGGCCATGGTCCACCTACACCAGAATCATCTGAAGCATCTGTTAACCACACAGCCCAGAAATGCTAAGTCAGACTCTTGGAAACAGGGCTCGGGAATCACATTTTTGACAAGCTCCCCTAATGCTGGTACACAAGCGAGCCCGAGGCCTGGGGCCTCACCTTCACTGATCCCTTCCGGATCCTCAGCCCAGCAACTCTAGGGTCTTGTCTTTCAGGCACCTCCTAGCTCCCCACCATCTTCAGGCTCTGTTTTCTCTACTGGATCCTTGCACCCAATGTCAATATTTTTTAAGTCTTTTTTTAAAAAAAAATATCTTTATTGATTTCAGAGAGAGGAAGGGAGAGGGGGAGAGGGAGAGAGAGAGAAACATCAACGATGAGAGAGTCATTGATCGGCTGCCTCCTGCACGCCCCCAACTGGGGATCGAGCCCACAACCCGGGCATGTGCCCTGACCAGGAATCGAACCCCGACTGCCTGGATCCTAGGTCGATGCTCAACCGCTGAGCCGCACCCTGCCGGGCTTTTTTTTTTTTTAAAGAAACATGTTTATTTAGCCCTCTTGCTCCCTCTGGCTACCATGCTCTCTCCTCCTCGTAATTACTGTCAAATACAAGCAGAATCCCTCTCCCCTTCCTCCCACCCCCACTGCAGACATTAAGAGCTGCTTGGTAATGAGAGGGGCAATCATCAAATGAACTTGAAAAAAGCTGCACAGCATCTCCCTGCATTTGGGAGATTAATACTCTTGGCAGAGCAGATGGTTCTAAGAAAATCCATGGTACAGAAAACCATTTACTTGTTTAATCCAGTCCCCCTTTTTGGGAGAACGTTCCTCCTCAGCTTGGGAATGCGGTTTTATTTGAAATCTTTCTCTCTCGACTCTTAACTGCCTCCTAGAGATGCCCGAGACCAAGACTTCCTCATGTGATCCGTCAGCACTTTAGGGGAAGAAAATACGTCTTGCTTTTCAATCTCCCATCAGAATCCAGTACAGTGTTTTACACAGAAAGTGCTCCAAGAATATATGAGTAAATTAAGAATTAGTCATTTAACTACTGATAAAATCTCCTATTCACATATTTCCAAAAAAGCTAAGTCTAAAATACAAATGTAGTACATCGAGGAGATCCTTACCTCGGAGTCTGCACGTTACAGTGGTAGATGTATTCTGTCACAGTATCATCTTCGAACATTGAAGAGTACTTCCGTTTGAAATCAGGCCTCAAACGCTGTACTAGACTTAAACCTAGTTAACAGAAAATGAATGTTTTAAATAATCTGTTTGTTTTAAATTATAATTGACTTATAGGCTACCTAATATAGAAAGTTTTAGTGTTTGCTTATGTAATAAGCACTATATGCTTACCACATAAGTATTCAAATGTATATTTTAGGTGGGAAAAAAGCATATATCCTAGAAGTTGCTCTCAAGTTCCCTAAGGAGAGCTTAAAGAAAATTAAAGTGTCCCATACTGACTTGTAGATGTGCTTTAGTTCAAAAACATGTTAGTTTTCCATGACTTGTTTTTGTAGGAAAATATTCTACTGAACATGGCAGATGAACAGAGCAGCTCATACATAAAATTAACTTGTTAACTTGAACTTCTCCCACAATATATGTATTTCTGTGAAAAAATAGAATTTCTTCTTGGAACACTTGTGGTGCTCCCTGCCAAGGCCATCCAGAGGCTCTGAGGGGCGAGGAGGGACATGGCCCCCAGAGGGAAGGGGATGGAAGCAGGCGCCATCGCCCGGGCTGGGGACGAGTCGGCCCCCTCTGCTTTCACGGCCCAAACTCTAGCAAGCTCTCACTTCTTTAGTGGTGTTCCTCCCTGTTTCTGGAAGAATTATGCAGCTCCATCAAGAATGCTTATGCTGTAGTTAATAGTCTACATTACCCGCCCCCCACGTGCAAGCAATAAACGGGAGGTGTCCCCCTTCTACCAACGTCTCCTAATTTCATTTCGTACTTTATTTTCCTATAATCGCTACCTGTGTATCTGTGATCAAGTCAAAGCCATTTACTACACAGATTCTTAGGTAGTTCAGGGGAGGAGCAGACTAAGGAGGAGTGGCTCTACTAGGAGGGGTGAAACGGTGGGGGTAGGGAAAAGGCTGCCTATGAGAGGATTGAGGGGTAGTGGTCACAATTCAATCCTGCACCTCGATTCCTGCAGTCCCACTGCTCTCCCCATCCCAAAGGGATGGCACCAGGGCAAGGAGGGGCCAGGCGTGCGCAGAGGGGAGCAGAACCTACAGTCGCCTCCGCAGTGCTTTTCCACCCCTTCATCCACCCCTCAAGCCTCTCCTCTTTTCTTGCTAATAGAACCTGACTCTTGTATATTAGGCAACAATGTGCTCAGGAAAGTAGGCCCTTCACTCCAGCCTGGGAATAAATCATGATTGCTCAGTCACAGAAACTTGTGGGGGTTTTGCTGGTGGGCAGAAACACGAGGGGAGGTCTGTTGGGATGGACCTTCCAAGAAAGCCGTTCTCCCCTGACAAAGAGCACTGTGGAGAAAAGACCATGTTCTGTGCTCTGCTTCTTTCTCACTCAGAGTGCTGCTCTGTGAGACGATGCTTCATGCCAGTGCAGCTGTGAAGATAAGGCCAGGAGATCACAGCTGCAGGCCAAACCCCAACCTCTATGAGCCAGCTACCAGAACAAATGCTAAAACCACTTGCCTCCAGACTGCTCATTAAGGAAATAATCAAAGGCCTTATGGTTTAAACCACTTACGTAGTCAGTTACTTGCAGCTAAAAGCACTCCTAACTGATACAAGCTATCAGAGGGCAGGGCAGAGGTCCAGACGATCATACTCTGTGACAATGAGGGAAGGACACTCTCTGAGGAGCTGAGAGTCAAATGAACTTAAACCAGAGACTAAACACTGGTACCTCAAAATATGACTGAAAACACAAATCAGGAGTCCCCCAAATCTTTGTGGAAAAGAATGATTTTATCTTCTTAACCCTCTGACAGTACAGAACAAGAAAGCAACCTGGGTGTAGTGGTGCCGCCGTCCCCATGGTCAGTCAAGTCAGGCTCCGGGACCTGTGGCTGGATATCACCTTTGCAGCTGGATAGCATCAGCCTGACAAGTGCTCTCAACTGCTCACCAATAGGTCACACAGCACTTCTCCCCAGGCCCAGGGCTGACTAACCTCATCCTCAGCAATTCCCACCTCTCGGCTTTGCTAAGTACCTGTAGTGCTGACACTACAGACTCCTCATCGAGGAGGAGAGTCTGGTTTCACTCATTTTCACGCATGGACTGGTACTCTTTAGAGGAGAAAAAGTAAGGTTCCGTTTTGTTTTTAAGATGTTGACTAACAATGGTGATCAGTAAATACTCTACTGCTCTTCTATAAACATTCTGCTTTCCTAGGGTCTAGCTCCAAGCACTCACCGAAGGGTCCTGCAATCCTGAGGCCAGCTAAAGGGTTAAAGGGAGTCAGTGCTGCTCCCAAGGCTCTGATCCAAACTGGAATCGGTCGGTCTTGATCAGCCAGGTCCGGTCGCTCAGGGAAACCCCAAGGCTCCACTAAAATGAGATGACTAACCCTGTTAGGGAAAAAAAAGATTTAAGTTCATTTGGCAAATTCACCCTTGGAGTGTCAAGAATTAACAGGATCTATAAAGTGAAAACAGAATGAACCACCTTCAAAACCTTCAGATTAAAAACAAGACTAATGGCTGAACAGGTTACACCATGTGCTTCTAACATGTAAACTTTTGAGATGATAGGATTTGAGGGTGTTATCTAAGGGTACCTGATAACTGTGTGACTATTCTTGAGAAATGGTATTTATTATTATTGTTTAAGCTACACTCTGGCAGATGACCACTCAGAAAAATTCAGTGGTTCAATCTGTCTCAAGGTTGACACTGCAGAAATGACTGAAGATTCGTACTACACTCATAAAATCACTTCAGACACCAATAGCAGTTATCTCCTACGAACCAGTCATTCTGATAACTTAAGAGGTGTTAGGACTTCAAGTGGGTTCAAGAGAACTTTAAATGAGCTTTTCCCAAACATAAGGATAATGTAAAATGAGGGATGAAAAGATCCTAGTTTTGGATCCCAGTTTGGTGAGCAGGAGCACACCTGCCCTACCCACGACATCATGCTAAACTGGCCTAGATTCTACCCTTTCCTCATTTTTTACTGTTTTGCCAGCAAATGAGTTAGTAATCAGTCTTCCGTTTTGACTGCATTTTCTCCAACAGAAAACTTCAGAGCACAGAGCTCCAGGGGCCCTTGGAGAAGTCAGTCCAATCTTTCATCCCACAGATGAGAAGGAAGCTGAGATGCACTGTGACCTGCTCCAGGACATAACGCTAGTTAATGTGGAACTAGGATTAAAATCCCAATTTCCTGACTCCAGGATACTAACAGATGCCAACAGCCATTGGGCAGAAGGCTCTCTCCTAAGGACAGGCTAAGCCACACAGAAGGAAGACACTGGTAAAGGTAAAGCTGTTCACCTTGATCCACTCTAGGCCAGTCCTAACACCATACTCCAGATTTCACAGCACCAAGATTTGTAACTATGAATTTATGTAGAAATGTGTGATACAAGATTATTTCTACAGACTTTGAGTGCCTTCACTCATAAAAGTTTTATGAGACTATTATTTTCTAATATTGTATGGAAGGGGGATGGAAATGAGTTTGTTTTGTTTTAATGGCAGAGACTATCTCTGGTATTTTGACTTCCTTCTAAATTCCTGTTATACAGCCCACATTGGGATCTGAGGAAGGGGGAGGGGGAGGCATGTCAGAGGTATGAGTAAAATTTATGAAACAGCCACCTAGTTGAAAGTGGCAAAGATTCATGTTAAAAAATAGTATTATTCACTATTGACTTACCCCTTAACGAGAAAAATTAACTCTATTAAAACACACTCTACCCTAAAAGATGACTAAATTATTCTTAAAAATTTGTTATGGGATCTTGCCCAGTCTGCTCTAGGCTATCCCAGACCTGCTAACCCAAGAAGGGGGCAGACAAAGGAAAATTTGAAGGAGGGAAAGTCTAGTTTAGTGATTGTTTTAATTTTGCCTTAGTTTTGGTTTGCCTTGTTTGCTACGGATCTTGAAAGTATCATTCCCAGGTAAGAATGCCCACTTAACAAATTACGCAAAGTGTACATACTAGAGTACATGGCCTTTTTTTTTTTTTAAAGAGAGTAAATTGCTCCAATAATTGTTTGATCCTGTGTCATCAGCCTTTCTTGGTGCTTAGCACACGGTAGATGATCAGTAAACATTTGGAGCATTGTTTTCCCCATGTCTTTTCAGTCCTTGTCTAGAAGGATATACAAATTTTATAAAGTATAATCAAATAGTAAGCACAGTTGTCGTCCAGTCTGGATTTTCCTGGTCCCCCAGATGACATGAGAACATCACCATAATTCCTTATATTAATCTTGCAGGTCATTACTCACTAGTGGGTAGTAAAATCCATTTAGAGTCAGAGCCAGTCTGTTTTTTAATAAAATTATATAATGTGGAACAGAAAAATATATAACAAACGTATCATTCCACAAAACTTTGTTTCAGACACACACACATATAATTCTTACTGAGGGTTATAGTCAAAAAGTTTGAAAACCATTTTTTAAAAATTCTGCAACAATGTCTAAACTGGAGTTATATATATCATCTGCTTCCACTACATGTAAAAAAAAAGACTTCAGAAAATAACTGTTCCTTATTTTGGGTTGTAAGTCTTTTAAATGAAATAGACTATGCAAGGCTATCACGTAAATGTTAGATAGTTACAGAAGCAAAAATAGGAAGACTCCTGGAGGAGAATTCATCCTGGACCCAGAAGTGCAGACGGAAGTGCAGACAAGGCTAGAGCGTGGAAGTGGCGAGTGGTTTCTTTCTTCCTTCAGGAAAGCCAGGCCACAACAGGCTGTGTCTCACAGGCTGTTAGAACCTTGCTGTAGACCAAGTTCCCAGGCTATCTTCTTGCCTCCTTTCTAATGAAAAGGTCATCTCATCTGGCAGCAGTTATTTGGATGTAATGCAGTATTCTCTAAATTGGTATGGTAATCCAGACCCGAACTGCTAATATTCCATAGCTGACAGCATGATGGGATTGCTTGTTCACATCCAGGATTAGAGTGGGTCTACCCAGATGCCACCTGTGAGTCACCCTATCAGACATCTTTGTTGAGCATGAGAGACTGATTCAAACTACAAGAAAAACAAAGAACCAGCAGACCAGGAACAGAAGAACAGCAGCCATCAATTTGGAAACATAAAGAGGCATCTTCCCCAGGTTAGTCACTAGAGGAGGCCTTGAGTTGGAAGACGGTGAGAGAATAATCAGACCCAGAACCAAAACGCACAAGAGAGTCCGCAGGACCTACTTATGGAACAAGGAAAGAAATAAAAAAGGACCAGAAAGAACTCGAGTCAGTGCACAAATGAGGAAGTCTCAGGATGGAGCTAGGCCCAGGTATTTCACATTGTGTCCAAGCCACTGGGGGGAGAATGCGGCAGGTCCAGAGCACAACAAACTAAATACCTCCAACTTCAGATCAAGCAGAACAGCCTTTCTTCTCAAGAAAGACTGGGAAGAACTGCTCAGCCCAGGCCTGCAGAGTCAGAAGACAGAGCCAGGCAAGGTCAAAAGGTCAGATGATCTGAAAACCTTAGTGGCGAAGTAAAGACCAGTTGTACCCTACTCTGTTGTAACTTGGAATGGATCTCTTAGCGAAACACTTTCTAAGTTAATAAAAGTTTCTTAGTGTCCTTTTCTTTAGTTTATAACAAATACTTGAAAGGTGGGTAAGAGACATTTAGAGTAGAGAGATAGTTCCATACTTGCTTAGCTGATACTAGTAAAAGATAAAATGAAGCATATTAAAAATTTTAAGAGTTTATGTGAGCAAAAACTGGTTTGAATCAAGCAGCACCAAACCAGAGGTAGGTAGGTAGGAGTGCTCCACTGAGCCAGAGGAAAGATTGGCTGCTTGTGATTCATAGCCCTTAGGTTTTGATTTCCTCACCTTGAGACATTTTCAGGCTTAAATTCTGGTTTGCTTATGTGAGCCATGGCATTAAAGCCACCAGTCTAGTGGCCTTGTTTCATACACTTAACACTGGACACCCACTATATGCCAAGCACAGGGTTCCGAGTGAACTTCATTCATGATTTGGGATATCTGAAAATCTGGAGAACCTCATTATTTTGAAATTAAGTTGTATTTAATAATTTAAGTTATGCAGTTAAAAATATAGGCTTGACTACCCAACACATTCTATGGAGTTCACTCCATATTTAGTAGCAATCAGCCAATTTAAACATGCTAATTATTTCAAGCATTCTCATATTCATCTATTGCTAATATTTGGTGGTTCTGGATCCTGACACTTTAGTTTTAGTACTTTAATTTTATTTCTAGTATTAGGCACAAACAGTCAAAAATCATTTTCTATTAATGTAGTCAGTCCAAGGCAGGGATCACTGGCTTTGTTTTAGATACTTGTTTTGTCAACCATGTCATTCAAAATATGTTGCTATTCCTTTTTATATGTGATTTTAAAGTGCTCATTCCCTTCTGAATTAATGAAACCCCTTATTTCTTTAAATATTTCACAACTGCAAATGAAAATCTCCCCAACTAATCTAAATAGCAGATAGCCACAGCCACGAAGGGTCAGGATTCTAAGACTTAGGCGTTTCATAACCAGAGTCTGGTCAAGAGACCCATGTTATACCTCCAAGGGATAACACCGCAAGACAGACATAATAAACATCCCTTACGAAACAAAGGAAGCCCAACCTCCACAAAGAGCCCTGTTGTCTTACACTAGGAAAGAATCCACTTCCTTCTCTCAGTGGCAAATGTGTGTCACTGAGAATAGGACATAATTAAAGGCAGTAACCCCAAACAGCCAACCAGGAGAAGAAAATTTTCTTTCTTTTGAAACTATCAGTCTGCCAGTTGAAAAAACTATTACTGTCTAGCCCAAACAGTACCATAAACTCTCCATAAAAGTCAAGTGTAAATGCTGAAGTTCAGATAAAGAATCTGTAGAGAAAAAGTTGGCTGTTCCAGAGGAAGAAAACCTCAGGTACACGGGGCTGCTGCTCCACATGTCAAATTCTGTGTCCACAGCACACCTGGAGTAGACAATGGGCAGCCTCCCAGGTGCATTTATAAATGCACTCTGAAAATGACTGTCGTCCAATGTCTCATTCACAGGCCTCAATGTCACAGTTGGTTGCAATTTGGATTTAAAAATTAGTCCAATGGAACAATAACTGGCTACACAAAAATGCTGATATGTCTTGTTTCTTTCCAAAAGATGAACAAAAATGAGCTTTTCTTCTATTTTTCTTTTAGCACTCTAATGTGACTTCCTCTCAGAGAAGTAACATAAATAACAGGAAATAGCATAAGAAAATCAGGTAGAGAAAATACAAAGATTCTGAAGCAAACACTCATTAATTCAATGACTATAAAAATAATTCTATGACAATAAAGGCTAGGGCACAGTATAATCAAAAGCCCTGCAAGATACACTATGCAGGTGTATTTTCTGCAGGTTAGTGGAAACTAGAGCTTAGGGGATAAGTGACTTTGCTCTCAGCTAAAAGACAGCACTAGTCCTCCTAATTCCTAACCTCATGGTTTCCTGCTGCAGCTTATTACCCTGGGAAACCTGCTGGATCCATAGGTCTAATGATAACAGTGGCAGTAAGCAGGGCCACAACAGTTTTTATTTGTGGCTTCAACTGTACATATTCTAAGTTTAACAAGTAGTCCTTTCTTAAGCCTTCTATAAATGTGTAGCATGTATAATAGGAAAATCTGGCATCATTAGTTCAGCTACTAAACTGACCATCAGTTGTGACTATTTGGTGTATAGGGTCCTTTAAGAGAATCTATCTTGTGAGGCTCAGATACCAGCAACTACCAAAGACGAGAACGAGAGACCAGCACAAGGGTGCTTCTCTTCTGTCCCCGCCACTTACCTTGATGGGTACTTCAGTGAGTAAGCAGCAGCCAAGAATCCACCCAGGTTGTGTCCAAGCAAGATCACTTTGTCCAGTCCGAGAGCACACCTCCACTCTTCAATGGATTCCACAAACTGATTCTCCACTTCCTCCGCATCATTGTCAAACATGGGTCTACTACTTCGTCCAAAGCCCAAAAGGTCAAAAGCATAGACGGGTCTATTGGTGCAAAGATCTTCAAAATTCAGTGCCCAGAGTCCAAGGCCGCCTCCAAATCCATGGAGGAGAACAAGTGGAGTCTTATTTGAAATATTGTGAGAGAACTTCAGTGTCCATATTTTATTTCCATTAGATATACGAACAGCTTCTTTTTTATATATGCTGGGGACACCTAATAAAAACATGAAAGAGAAATTCTGCTTAGCTTCACTACCTCTGAGAAGGGGAGTATTCTCAGAGAATATGAAACTAATCTGAAATTCACTTACATTATCAACTGAACAATTATACACTTTAAACGCCCCCTTACTTGTTTGTGAGATTCACCTGCAGTGGACAAATACTGGGGAGTTGGGAGTTTCTGCCCTTTAACTAATAATCTCAACTAAAACAGGAAACACAGCATTCATTCAGAGTATTAACAGAGTCCATGTGCCCAAGTGGGGGGAAATGCCACCAGGCTAGAAAGGAGATGATCCAGCTTTACAGTGCCAAACCAAATCACATCAGCACTGAGAACACGGATGTCTGCATATTCCCATAAAAACCATCTGTGATCTCCGTTAGAGAATCCCCCCTTCCGTACGAGCCACTTGCTTTCATGTCTGATATTGGACTAGGGGCAAATTCTCAGTCCTATTTGCACCCCTAGAACCAAGCAGTAGGGAATCAATATATTAGTTAAGTGCATGAATTGGGCATCTAGTACCCTTTCTTATCTCCTGACAAAAATTTTTGCTCTGTTTTGTTTTTGAACCTTTAATGAGGAAAAAAAAATACTGAGCTCAAGGACACTGTTTAGTATGTCATTGGATCAAGGGTTGGGGATACACAAGACAGAACTAGCAAACAGGACATACACAAACAAAGATACACATGATTACAGAATGGAAAACTGATGCCTGGCATGGTTAGGTCTCGCTTTCCTCATCAGTCAGCAGCATGCTGGGGAATCTCCAGCTGATGGGAAGCAGATATGCAGACTCTGGGCATTGTTGGGGTGCCCTCCAACACATCCACCTCCAGCAGCACCTGGTATAGCTTCCTCAGAAATTTCTCATCATGCTCAGACCCATGGGACAGCCCTTTAGGCACCTCAACCAGATGCAAGGTATCAGCACCTTGAAGGGCCAACCACTCCACCTTTGGCATAATATGTGCCATGAACACAAAGTCAGGGTTGAGCTCCACAGGGCTGATGAGGACCTAGGTAGCCTGGAGGCACAGGGGAAGCCACAAGACTCCCTCTCCACCCTGCACATGTGAGCTCAGCAGCTTGTAAGAGCTTTTTTTTAAAATAAACCTCAATGACATCTTTCCCAGCTTTGCAGAGAACAAAGCATACAAAGTGAATAGAAATTTATTTGCATGTTGCAAATTCATTTATGATGACTAACTGTCCCCTCCTATGGCTATATCCAGCCATGACGACTTACTCCTGAATCACTGGAATGCACAGGCAAGAAAATTCATTTGTGGTAGACAGGATGAAAAACATACATGACACACACACACCTGCACATATGTACACAACCACTCATGTGAACTGCACCACTTAATCCATGCCTCTAAATTGTACCAGCAGACAAAACTATACCACAAACACTACTGCTTAAAAGTATACCCGCGAATACCTGGGAACACCCTGACAATGCAAGTCTGGGTGAATTTCACGTCCATAAGAAACAGACAAAAAGGCTTCCACATCATTACAAACGTAGAATTAAAGAATCCCAGAATACTAGAATGGAAAGGAATTTTAAGGACCATCCCCTCTTGTTTTATAAAGGTAAGCATCAGGAAGCAGAGAAAAATGACTTGCCCAGTAAATCTTCTATTATGAAATTGTTTTGACCTCAAAGATCTCCTAAAGGATCTACAAAGATCTCCCTTTTAGGAGATCATGAGGTCAAAACTATTTTCATAACAATAATAAGAACTTTATTTGCCTTTTCACTCTTATTCTCTGATGGGTATATAGTGGAGTTTCCCAGAAATCACAAAATGTGATTACCAACCGTCTAAATGCAAAAGCAGATATGAGAATCCAGATGCTTTATATTAAACCAGACAGTAAAGATATCTGCAAGCATGTAAACGATACTACACTTCTTACTACATTTCTGTTTGGAAAGTAGTCATTTTTAAAAAATATGCTATTTATTTTAACCTGTAATGGGTTTATTACTATTATTTTAAAATAAATTAATAAATTAACATATTTTAAATTATTCAGTGTTCATTTCTAATATCATAAATGATAGCCATAAACAAAGCTCCTTAGGGTCCTTACTATTTTAAGAGTATACCAGACACACAAGACCAAAAAGTTTGAAAGCCTCTGTCCCCCACATTTAGGCACTTGCTGATGACATGGAGAAGTCATGTTAGTTGTTTTGTCCAACAACTCACACACCACAAAATCTTAAGTTTCAGGACAATGTGAACATTGGACCTATTTTAGCAGACGGCTCATTTAACTCATAAGAAGAAAACCTTACATTTTAAAATTTTCTCTTCAGCTTCTTTAAGGTGTGATGTAGACGTAGGGCACCATGTAGGAAGCCAACCAGTTAGCCATCCTGACCTAGAGCACCAAAACAAAATACAAAGAGGTGAGGTAATGTTCTTCTCAACTCCTGACTTATACACAGAGAAGGAAAGCAGAACAGGAAACACTGTTTGTGTGAGGGTAAAGCTATCTATGTGACAAAATTCACCTAATAGGTACAAAGCATTGTGATCAAGTACTGGGATACAGACATTCAACTTCAGCCTGTGAACCTACAAGCAGGTATCAAAGTCCATCTAGCTTATCTTTGTGGATAGTCAGATTACAAATAATTAAGCAGAGATTAAAAATGGGCAGAACAAGAAAAGATAAACCCTGGCCTGGTAGCTAAGCTGGTGAGAGCATTGTTCTGATAAGCCAAGGTTGTGAGTTCAATCCAGGTTAAATGCATAAATACGTGGAACAACAAATCGATGTTTCTCTCCCTCTCTCTCAAAATAAATAAATAAAAAATTTTTAAAAATACTTAAAAAAAAAAAGACAAAAAAGTCATTCCCCTACCCCGTTCATTGCAAGATGTCTTCTTATCAGGATGGAAGTGCACAAAAGTCAGTGACCATGAGCAGGTTCATTTCCATGGTAGGTTCACAGCAGGTAAAAAAGGTACCTGCTATGAAGGTTGAGAGAAGAGAAGCCTTATTAAAACATGAGGCTGTTTTTATAATAAGACTTTGAATCTCACAGTGAAGAGTAGAACGTTAAAGGATTTCCTGTCTGTACTCCTTCCTTTTTGGCAGGGGTGGGGGAGGTGGAGTAAACCTATAGGTGGCCTATAACGGCAAATTCCAGAAAACCCCTCTCAATCCAGCTGAAATGATAATGAAAGTTATAGGCTCACAGCTTTAAGTCCAGAAGAAGAGGGATTTCAGGACTAAGCCTGGCTCCATTTCTCTGTAATCCTCTCTTCTGTGCCCTTCCCAGGGACTGGCCCATGTACAATCTGCCTAGTTAACTTTAGCAGAAAAGCTTTGGGTTCCAGCAAACAGTCAATGAAAAGAATGACCCAGGCATCTGGCAGGAGACAGCTGAACAAAGGGAGAAAGGAAGCAGGCCTGAGACAACAGGTGAGGAAAGAAGTGCGGGCACCGGAACCGGAACTAAAAGGATGAGCCTTCAACTCCTGCCCTGGTGATAAGCAGAAGTTGCTTTTGACTTGATCTTCATAGATGAGCAGGATGATTTCAAAGGTGGAGCAGTACTTCAAGCACTTCCAGTGAAGGAAAAGGCACCTGAGTCCACGTACACAGGAAGTGCATAATGCATGCTCTAACAAGTGCACTGGTTGTTTCCAAAGGCTGCTGTAACAAATTGCAACAAACCTGATGGCTTAAAACAACAGAAGTTTATTCTATCACAGTTTGGGAGACCGGTATCACTAGGCTAAATTAAGGGGTCAGTGGGGGCCATGTTCCCAGTAGAGGCTCCAGGGGAAAATTCATTCCTTGCCTCTTTTGAGTTCTGGTGGCTGCTGGTATCCCTTACCCATGGCAGGGTCACTACAGTTCATCACCACATTGCCTTCTCCTTCCTGTGTAGTCTTCTCCCCTTCTGCCTGCCTATATTCTCCCTCTGCCTTTCACTTGGAAGAACACTAGTGAATGCATTTAGGGCCCACTCAGATAATCCAAGGCCATCTCACAATTTTAACTGAATCAGTTAAGTTAAAAGTCTGCAAAGTCTTTGCCATATAAAGAAACATTTACAGGTTCCAAGGATTAGGACATACCTTTGGAGACCATTATCTTTGAGGACCACTACCACAAATAGCATGGAGTGTGTCCCAAGATAAAATATGTAGAAACATTCAATAAATGGTAGTTGACATTATACTGATGACAATAATAATAATTCACTAAAATTATGTGGCATTAATTAGGAAATAATTCCTAAAATAGAGTTTTAGCTAAGGGCCACAGGAGTTCAAAGACAGGAACTGACAAAGACCTGTCATTCTGCATCACTCCTCACCTCAAAGTTAGGGCTACTTCCCTCTAGCTGACCTATTATGGGAGACTCAGTCTTACACTTGACACTACTGTATCATTTTTGCCAGTTTTTACTCTTTCTATTCCCTAGTCAAACAATATTCCCTGTCCTCTTGCTTCTTGGTTCTGAACATCCTTGGAATGTGCATCTCCCCTGCCTTTCACGATTCATTACACCTCTCACCAATCTCAGATTAGATTTCATTTCCCCAAACAGGACTAGATCAAGGTGGCAGGATGGCACCTTATACTCAAACTTTATTTTCTTACTTCCCGAACTGTTTTATAAAGTTCTTATTTATTCATCAGTATAAATACAGTATTACCCAACTTAATATCCTTGATGGTAACGACTCTGTGCTCATGACTGTTTTCTCAATTTCTATTCCAATACCAGGCATATTGATATACATTGATGATATGAATGAGAAAAGTTATTGCTTCATCTGAAATGAACTGGTTGCAATGAATTACAAGAGAATCATTTCAGTAACAAGGTAATTTTCTGGGATGATAAGGAAGTTCTCTATTTTAAGAGGTGACTGAATGACAGAAGTATGTGTATGTCAAAATTCAACATGTGAACACTTACAACCTTAGCAGTTCATAAATCAAATTTTACACCAAAAAAAGTAAAACAGGCTGGATTTGATAACTGGTTGGGTATAAAGTTGTAACAGAGGCTTTCTAGGTTTCTGTCTTAGCTGCTACTAATAACGTCACAGACCACATGAGTAAGAATAGGTGTGAGTAGAGAAGTGTGCTAAGTTTAAATATACTTTTAAAAACTCCACTTTTGGATGGGGTGACCCAGCATCCAGCTTTTTCTAAGCTCTGCAGGCTCATCCTCCTGCATTTCCCTTCCCCATGTAATTCCTCTGGGCATTATGTGTAACAGGCAGTCAGTAAACATTTGCTGAGTGATTAAGTCCCTCACAATGTAGGTTACTCTCAGCCCAAGTTATCCCCTTATTTCATAGATGTGAAAACTGAGGTTTAGGAGTGTTAAGCACCAGGCAGGTTCAAGAGTATACAGCTAGCAAGTTAAGTGGTACAAGTCACTTTTCTCAGGTGATGACCTTCCTTAAACTGTATGAGTTCCCATTATCTACAGGGTAAGTCACATTCCTTAGACCTGCACAGAAGATACATTATAGCCTGTATTATAATGAGGCTCTCTAATGTTTTCTGCTGCTAGTGTCAAACCTTTTGCACTGACAGGATAAGATGATAAGACTCTAGGCACCCCCCACAAGCATTCCATGTAACTAATCATCAAAGGATAAACTAATGTAAAACATTATTAATATTAGCCTTCTTGGAAATACATACACCTATTTACAAATTATCAACGAAAACCAATTTAAGGCTTCAGCAATGAACTTGTCAGTTTATTCAACAATTTTTCAATTGTTGGAAAAAAGCAGTTAACAAACAGTTAAAAGAATCTCATGATCCTTAGAGCTTAAAGAATTTAAAGTAACCATTACTGAGCGGACGCTCTTTTGTCCTTGCCCAGGAATGGCCATAAAGTTCCACGTGTGTTCACAAAAATATGAGCTAGTACCGAGAACTTAAATTACAACTCAGCCTCACTACTTTTCTGAAATATCCCTCAAATCAAACACAGTTCTTTGCCAGAGAGAATCAGAGGTCAGAACAGAAAAAAAGAAAATTCAAGTGAAATGAACTATAATCTACTATTACTCCAATTGACGTCATAGACATGTTGGGGAAAAGAAAACACAAATGCAATCTTTGTTTCAGTTGTAAGAAAAGAATTACAGTCTTTGAATTCCTACAATGTACAAGGAACTAGAGTTTAAAATGTTATATACCAGGAATTATGTCTACCTCTCATCATAAATCCAACTTCCAAAGGACAGGATGTCTTGCCCATGCATTCTGTCTCCTAGTGATGGGCTTAACTCAAAGAGAAGAGACAAAATAATATTTTTATGTTTGCCAAGTCTAGTGCATGACATTAAAAATTAGGTCTTTTCAACCACAAGAGACCCACTAACACTCTTCATGTTTTCACAACCTTTTCATCAAAGCAGATAATTTTTTTAAGTGGAGTTTTAAAAGTATATTTAAACTTAAAAAAAATCTATATTTAACAAAACATAGTACAATATTTTATTTTCACTCACAATGGAACTGTATAATACCTCTCTTCCCCTACGTCCTGATGTTTCTGTCTAATCAGTTTCACCATAACCAGATTTTACAGAAACTGTCTTCTACTTCCTAGAAATAATCTACAGGGTTGAGCACCAGCACTAATGAGCTCAAAGGCACATTTCTCAAGGGTGAAAGGCAGGGGTCTATCTTTTCCATCCTTTCGCTGATCACCCTTTGTTCACAAGTTCCCGCCCCTTAGCTTGCCACCTCTATTGCTCTCAACACCTGTCCAACCTCACCTCCTGTCTTCGGGGTAACTTAACCTCATCCTCAAAGATACTCTCTGCCCCTTCCACATGATCTCCTATGTCAGTGTTGTTCTGCATTTCTAGTGTAGGACTAGAACTAAGGACATGATACTGTAACTAAGGACACAAGACTGAAGCTTGTCAGATATCCAGCCATTCTTCTGAGGTCACAAAATCAAAAGTAAAAATTAAATTCATGTGGCTCACTTATAAAAGAGTGAACAAAATACCAAGATGCCTCCTCACAGCTTTGGAAAATAAATAGAAAAGCAAAGTTTAACTTCCTTATTTTATTTAAGCAGATAATCAATAAACACCATCTACTGTTAAGGCTCTGATTTCAGAAGTGACCCAAGTGTCAAGCACAATATAAAGAAAAGTCATTCACTGGGCAAAGACATTTGCAGATCATATATCTGATAAGGGGCTAATACCTAAAATACATAAAGAACTGATACAACTCAAGAACAAAGAAACCAATCAGACTGCAAATTGGGCAGAGGGCCTGAATAGTTTTCCAGAGACACAAAAATGGCCAAGAGGCACATGAATAAATATTCACTGCAACATTATTTACAATTGTCAAGATATGAAAGCAATCTAAATGCCCACTGGTGGTTAAATGGACAAAGAAGATGTGTTTGATACAGCCAATGGACTACAACTTAGCAACAATAATAATAATGATAATAAAGAATGCTATCCTGTCATTTATAACAATATATATGAACCTTGAGGGTATTATGCTAAGTGAAATAAGTCAGAGAGAGAAAGACAAATACCATATGATATCATTTATTTGTGGAATCTAAAAAACAAAACAAAGCAAAACCAATCTCTTAGATACAGAGAATAGATTGGTGGCTGCCAAAGGGGAAGGAGTTGAATGAAATGAGTGAAGGGAATCAACAGGTATAAACTTCCAGTTTTAAAATAAATAAGTCATGAGAATGTAATGTACAGCATGGTGACTATAGTCAATAATACTATATTGTAAATTTTAAAGTTACTAAGAAAATAAATCTTAAAAGTCCTCATGGTAAGAAAAAAAACCTTCTGTAATTACGTACATGGTGACAGATGGTAAACAGACTTAGTGTGATCAATGTATATAAATGTCAAATCATTACGTTGTACACCTGAAACTAATGTTATGTTGCATGTAAATTTTACTTCAATGAAAAAAAGAAAGAAAAGATATAGGAACTATACCAATCTATGAAAACAGAAAGGTTCATCAATGTGCACCAAAAGGTTTTCTTGTTTTATAATTTCTGTAATAAATACAGGGAAGGAATCTTTCTAGTGAGCAGACTTCTAAGAAAATCTTTAAGACTACAAGATGTAGCAATTCTAAGGAAAGTCAAATAAGATGTGCTTAACATTAATAGAGTTTATTAACTTAAGAATATGATTTTAAGTATCTTAAGTTTGAGAGATAAAACAAAGTTTCCTGGTAATCCTGGTTTTGTTCTCTGAGACTGTCTAAACCTGAATTGCACAATCTCTAAATATT